ACCTTGTTGGTGCCCATGAGTCGTACAGCCGTTTTGTAAACTTTAGGCGGGTTGCGTAAAAGATTGATGCTCGAAACTTGTTTACATCTGCTTGACTTGTTGACGCCACGTCTCAACCTTTCCATGCTCCACCTCAGCTCCACCTATGTGTTCATCGCCTAATATACAATATTTATTGACGCTCTCCTCATTTCACATCCCCCATGAACATAACTAACTATGCCATCGACTAGTTCGAATTTCCACCGATCTGAGGCCAATGCGAAGGTCGGCGGCAATGTCGGCCTGTTTCAGCGGCGATTGTAGTACTGGTGAACAACATGCTGCTTGGTTTCTTCAGAAATATTCTTGTTGGTACGGCCCATGGCGGTTGACCATCGTCGAGCATGCGAAAAGAGATCAAGAGAGTGGAGCGAGGACGCGGCACCAAGCAGATGTAAACAAGTTTCGAGCATCAATATTTTACGCAACCCGCCTAAAGTTTACAAAACGGCTGTATCGCGTCCCGCAGACGTACGGAGTAAGTGTACAGCCATGAAACGGAAGTGTGGAGCAGAGGAGACTCACTGTCAAACAAAAGTAAGCAAAAATCAAGGAGCTCCACTCCATCAAAACCCGTACATGTTTTTGCAAACGGCTGTGCGCACGCAGTTAGCTCTCCTTGAGAGTGATCCATCTATGAAAAGTCGTTATCTGGATGAGCCATCCTGACCAACACATAAGAGCAGCGTTGGCAAACTCTTTTGAACTTTTTCGTGCCTCACTAACCTTGTGGGATATACATAAAGTCAAGAGTTTTGTAGTCTCCGGCTCTCGGTTAAAGCACCGGTCAAATTGATTTGACCTGGTCAATTACGACACTGCACAAGGTTCCAACGCCCGACAGCATGCATAAAAATAGGCCAGTTTTATACCTCCTCCTTCCTCGGATTCATCATAAGTAGGCGGTGTACATGGTGCCGACAATTATGATTCTCTTCCCATTCTGATTTGAGCTATAAAGGTGTTCAAGGCCCTGATTCCGTTTTCACACATGAAAATGTGTTCGTGCGTCCGTCACTGTTTGTTATTCCCCCTCACTGACGCGCCATAGGTTCCTGGATCTTTACCTTTCTTAGTTTCTAGAGTTACAAAACATCTTCCAGCTCTTTAAATACCTGAAGATTTTGGATGCTTCTCCCGTGGGGACTCTGAGGACGGCAATCAATCTATATCATGGCTGTGTCACAGCTTCAGCCATATAAGTCGGCCTTCATCCGCAATTGACTCCCATCCTCCCATCCACTCATGTCCGCTCCCCAGTTTTATGTTGACACAGTTAATAGGGTTTCCATCGCCTGGTCTATCGCCGCGGTAAGGTTTGGTCCCTGACAATGTATCCTCTCATACTGACAATGTAAAAGGCGGAGACATTCCTCTACGGTAGCGCCACCTCTCCTCTGCGTGTGTGATTCAGCCCTGAAAGACTCTTTCCAGGGGTGCATCTCGTCATGTTCGGGTTTTATCTGCATGTCCTCCGCACACACGGGATAGCACAGCATCGCTTCCTGGCTGTTTCGACGATCTTACTCTTCATCCTCGGCACTGCGCATTGCGCACTCCAGCTCGCGACCACCATACTCGGTAATAAGGCCCAGCTCCTCGAGGAGTTAGAGATCATTGTCGAGGATACCTCCCTCATTGATGCAGCTGTCCACCTCTATGATGTATCCAGCTCTCTAACGGAGGCAGCGAGCGGGATTTATGTTACAAGCACGTGCGTTTCAGACTTTGAGCCAAGCTAGCCCGCTTTAACCCAGGCATTTCCCCTAAGTGTGATTGCAGATAGCATTTTTGTTCGTCGGAGGATGGTATCCCCATAAATTTGAGTTCCTGACTGTTCCTTCCACAGATTTTCCGCTGCTACATGATCTGGGGTTGCCGCTGCAAGATTGTGATCTTGCCGATTATTCTGACCTTGGCTGTCGCGGGTGAGTGTCTACACTTTATATCACAACTTGATTTTCTAATTCATCCAGGTCTCGGTTATTCTAATGTTCAAAATAATTTGGTGACGGATGTTCAGGGTGCTGGATTACTCCGCTTGCTCTCATCGGTTGCGACGTCGCTTTTCACAACTTTCGTTCTGATGGGGTTACAGCTGTTTTCGAAATTAATGAGATCGATCAAAATTTATTTTTTGCCTTCCCAAAAAAGAAGGTGCTGGGAAAAGCGCTACTATTCTTTTACCATCGAACTCAGGAACACTAGGATATGTTTTGCCATCATGTTTTTCAAGTTCACGAGGAGGAAACACCATGTGCCCGGTACAGGAGGACAGAAAAAGCGGCAGCGATGGAGTCACGTGCACGTATCGCCGATCGGCCCACTTCGGCCGCCGTCGAACCCTCGTCGCTCGGATTTCATCTTTGAACACTTGTAAAGAGCCCCAAGCATTGCTGGCTGTGTTCCAGGCTTAAAAGAGTACTGCCTTGAGCCAAGGTGAGTTGACCTTCCTTTTTGGGAACGCAAAAAAAAAAAGTGATTGGTCTCATTAATTTCGAGAACAGCTGTAACTGGTTTGTCCACATTTCTTGGTTCTAGTGTAAACTTGAAAACTTCCTCAGTTGGGTGAATCTGGTGGCTAGCACGCGCAGCCCGGAATGCCATGGGACCAAAAGTAGCAGACAGATACTACACAGTATGTGCTATGATGTGTGTAGCTAATCTCGTCCGGATTCTCGCGCTGATATCACCCAGTTTGGAGTCCGGAGCCCTGTATTGTATAGGCGGGATCATCTTCCTCGCCCTGGGATCCTATAGCCATGGTCTAGCCTCCGATTAGGTGAGTCAAACAACCCGTTCTCGAACGTGTCACCGTTGAGTGCTCATCATCAGCAGATATTCCCTGGGGCCGTTCTGGCACAGTTAGTAGTCAGTCCATTCATATCTTCTTCGTCTTCTCAATTGATTGTTCCCGGCGTAGGGGATCGCACCAACCATTATCGCAGTCCGAGTGGGACTCGGATACAGCGTTGAGAATGTCGACACTTTCATAGCGGCCGCACCGCCCACTCGACCTCCGCCGCAAGTCATCCCCGGGACTCCTTCGGTGGAGTCACTGGATGACCGGGTTTTGTACATTCATGCTGACGGCGGAAAGTCCGAGGGAGTGTGACAGTTCACCTGTCTCAAGCTAACCGACCGCGGGGCAGGATTGATGTACTCGTCAAGAATCTGGAGCATTCGCCGGGAGCTGTGACCTTTGTTCGGATAAGTATATAGCATTCATCTTCAATACAAACCATCCGCTACCGGGTGCATATGGGCGAAGTATTACGACACCGATGATACAAATACGAGCTGTAGTCGTTCACCTATCATCCTGTGCGCTTGACCGTGAGTCAGGAAGGAGCGAATAGTGAAAAAACGCAACCGTGGGTCCCGCCAGAGTGATGGCTCGGGCTCGAGTTGAACGAGCGGCTCCTACTTGTATAGACTCAGACAAACCAACCGAAAGCAGGCGCGGACCATCCGCCACCGGGCCTTTCTGTTACTGTATACCTGCGAAGTTTATCGAGCATGCTGCGTTAAAAATTCAAGTCTACTCTCTCGCCTATAGCCCTCGTTGGGTCTAGACCATCCCGAAGCTGTGAGTTTCGTCAGACTAGCATTCAACTCGCAGACGACTTGATGATTTTTGTCTCAGGATAAAATTTTAGCAGTACTCCGCGCCTGTGAAGACGCTCGAGAACATTAGTGGCCTGAGGGCCGCAGCAGATGGAAGAAACCGGGGACGTATCAGATTTACAAAAAATAAAAGTCACGACAAAGACAGTGACCCGGGCTGAATTCGAACAAGCGTGTCCTGCGTAAGCATTATTCATTTCGGGGCTATCGGTCGCAGGTGCTGAAACCATCCGCTACGGGGGCGTAATTCTGTATCTGAGAATTCGATTAGCGTCGCATTCAAATAGCCGTGATGAGGCCTTTCAGATAGAAATCTGAACTCCTCGAGGGGACCTTGAGAACGTGCGATTTGCGTGACTACGAGATGACCAGTTGTACGAGTGAGAGAGAGGCAGCGGACCAAAGAGGGATGGCAGAGTAGCAGCTCACCTACGGACGTAACGCCGGGAGAATCAACCTGGCGGGTGCAGCATGATGTGCACGGCAAGGTAAGTGGGTTGCGGAACGACGTCCGTTGCTGGAAGCGCGACCCATGGTGGTGAAGGCAGATGACGACGGTGGATGGACACGTCGACAATCCTCTTGCAATCGTCCGGCTCGCAAAACTCGACACCGGATTCGACTTCAACTTGGAGATTCGACATCCGTAAATATAAGGGTCCGATTTGCAGGATTCAAGGAGCAAGATGAGAAGTAACGCGGCCACGCACCACATTAATATTGGTGGAATGTGTCTTTTTGATTCCCAGCCCACGGAGGCTATAAAGCTCTGATTCTAATGCGGTGCAAGGTCCAGTGGTGGGTGGTCTACATTTGGTGTTAAACAAGCAGTCAAAACGGACCGCTAGAGTCGCTCTAACCTAAGCATGTTCGCAGATGAAATAAGAAGGCCTGGTGGCCGATGGTCTGCTTCTGTCGTGGGAAATTATGATTTAGATGCCATCCTAGTCAGGTTCGCAGATAGCAGAGGAAGGCCCGGTAGCGGATGGTCCGCGCCTGCTTTGAATACGTCCTGATAAGGTCATGCGTGCAGAAGTCGCTCGTTCGAATCGAGCCCTGGCCATACGTAAGGTGGTGATTTCTTTTTGATTCCGCGGTGAGTGAAACTGCAATTTCAAAGCCATCCTAATGAAGTTCCGAGGAGTGATAGGAGCGCCCGGTAGCGGATGGTCCGCACCTGCTTTCCATGGATCGAGATCAAAAGATACCTGCAGAATTCGCTCGTTCAATTCGAGCCTGGGCCATAATCTGGTGAACGATTTTTTGATTCCATGGCGAACGAAATCCCACTTTAAATTCAAATCTAATCAATCCCTGAAGCAGGAGAAGAAGGCCCGGTGGTGGATGGTCCGCGCCTGCTTTCAATGGATCTTTATCGACGGATACATGCGGAAGTCGCTCGTTCAAATCGAGCCCGGGCCCTTCGAACTTGATAATCAAGCCTTTTTTGTTTGAAACGTCGATTAAACTCTAACCTAAGCAACTTCTGAAATGGGATAGGAAAGCTTTCAATACATTTGGAAAATTGTTGATGTAAGATTCGAATCGACCCCGAGCCATGGGTAGCCAGTGTGGCTCTTGCTAATGATGAGCTTGCTCGTCTTGTTCGCAGCCGAGCCCAGCTGGCCATCCTCTCTGAGCCAAGTACTCTAGTAACCCTGTAATATCGTCGGCTGGTTTGAATGAGCTTGCTCACAATATTATTCACGTGAAATTCCCGCAGCAAGGAAGAAATTCAAATACGGAGAGGAAAATCTCACTCCCATGGGGAATTAGGGTTATTTAGCCGCGGTGACGCGACCCAACCGACGTTAGCGCAGGACGCGCATGAGACAGAAGCCGAATGATGCTACTGGTAAAACTCAGGGCCCAAGGGTAGTGTTCCGTGCCCCGAGCCTACAGAGCAACGCAGAAAGATTCGGGTCTGACTATGAGCTCCGCGTGAGCGCCTTGTCATGATTCCGACCCAGGAAGAAATCTCGCGTTGGTGCTGGCGCGTCATAAGTCGGCGCGTGTAGAACGGAAGACGCAAAGAAGACGCGTCAAGTGCGCATCAGGAGAAACAAAAAAGTGGCCATGAATATCCAGAGTCCAAGAGTAGCTCTTCTTTCCGGGTACACGCGCCCCAAACGCGCCGATGCAGTAGACGACGATGAGTGAAAGAGAGGAGGACACCGCCACTGATGGTATGTCAGGGTTAGGGTTTGACGTAAGCCTTTGCTCCGAACCATCATCTGCATCTGCACTCCCGCGACTTTGCCCACGGATCTACTTCTCCTTTGCTACAAGTCAATTCTCTGTCATGATGGATCCTTGCTGCTTTCCTCTGAAGGGCCCGTTTGTCCGCCTCTCACGCTCTGCGAAGGCCTTTGTTTCGCGCTGTCGCACCCAAGCCTGAGATGAATCAATCGAAGGATACATTTGAATAATTTTCTGGAATCTCTCTAGCTACAAAACACACCTGCTGCCCTGATGAAACTATTCTTGTCTCTCGCTATTATTGGTGTGTTCGTCTCCGCTGCATAACATGTGCATGCTACGAGTGCGTTCTTGCTTCCGGAGAACCTGCATATTTGAACGCAGAAAGGGACCTTTATCGCTCGCCATGCGCGCACTTTCCGCCCTCTTTGGGGCAACAAGTCTGTTATTCTGCACCGGAGTACACGCTCAATATGTCTGGCTATGCCGTTATGTTTGAATACTTCTAACGTCTCGTAGTGACGCTCTCCACCCTCCGCGTAGAGAAATCGATGTCACCCCTCGCTTCTCCTGGCTCCTCCCCTTGCCTTCCTGCGCCGTTTCACAGAAATCCTATCGTTTCACTGTCTCCGCTGTCTCCGCCGGTTCCACGGACGTGTGGGACTACGGTGTGGTGACTTCCTCTCTTCCCTATCTCCGCCAATACGCTGATCCCGCTCTGAGGTCCGACACGACGTACTTCTGGAGCGTGAATGTCGTTAGCACGAGCGCCGCGAGCACCTTTACCACCGGATTCCTCACGCAGAGCGACTGGAACCTGAGTGTTTGGATCGGGAAGAAGACCACAGTTGTCCCTGCGTCTCTTCGCACAGCGTTCACATCGGCGTCGTGGATATGGGCGTCCGAACCATCTCCGCCGAACGCCTCCCCAGGCGATGTCGCGCTGCGTTTCACGTACGCGACACCTGCGGGCAAGATCCCAGCTAGTGCAACAGTCGTGATCACCGTCGACGACCGCTTCACGTTCTACACCAATGGTGCGCTCGTCGGCTCCTCGCCCAACGTCACGGACATCTGGATGTCCCCCAGATCCTCCGCAACGTAAACCTTTCCCCCTCTCCCGAGTCCTCAGCCTCCATATTCTTCGCAATCCGCGCGACGAACCTCCTCGACGTCGCCACCGGTGGGCAGGCGTCATTTTAGCCGCACTCATCACGTTCACGGACGGCTCGACCGCGCTCGTCTCCGTTACAGCGGCGTGGAAAGCCACCGCATCCATCCCCGCCAACTTCCAACCCCCCGCGGTCTCCGACGCCTCCTGGGCGGCCGCCTCCGCGCTCGGGTCCTACGGCATCGCGACCTGGGACACGTAAGAGGTCGTCGCGAACCCCACACCCGTCACGCCCTCGCTCACCACCGCCACTGGATCTGGAACAGCGCTACCGCCGCTAGCGACGCGCCCGCCGGCGCGCTCGCGTTCTGCCGCACCTTCATCAGCAGCGCAAGCAAGGCCGCGGCGAGCGCCGCCATCGTCATCACCGCAGAGGACCAGTTCTCGCTCTGGGTCAACGGCGCACTCGTAGGCAGCGCGCCGGACGAGCCCGACGTGTACTGTTCACTGTCCTTGCGCTTTGACACATCCGTTTGTTCGCTCGTTACCGCCGCTCACAATCGCTCGCTTCCTCGTCTATTGCTCGCTTCGTTGCTGCTATACGCTGAACCCCAGCACTATCTTGTACTTCTTGTACCCCAGTCACTCGCTCGCGTCTCTTGTACCACCCATTCCCGTTGCTTTCCTTTCGCTGCTCTTACTCACTCGCCTGTACTCTTATTCCTCTTATTCTTACTCTTACCTGTACTACGCTGCCTCGTGGATACTGATACTTCTTAATTCCTTACCTTAGTTTTACTTAATATTAATTGTAGCGTACGAAAAAAAATGAAATAATGAATGTGCTTCCCGATATCGCGCTCTTGTGGTTAGGTTGAGGGGAGACGACTTGCTGGGGCTGGAATGAACCGTCTAAATTTATTTCTGACCTCCCGCCCAACCCGCCACAGGTTTGGGTGATGGCGCTGATCACAACATTGATGCGCCGCGGTTGGGTTCAATTGCTCACCTACAAAAAGTCGGCGCAACGGTTCGGCAGGAGATTTCTGGGAAGAGCCAAAGAAATGAAAGGAAGACTGCAGTTCATGTATGCACCGGTTGAGAATCAAACCACGAGTCCCCGCGTTCAACAGCCCGTCATGATCGAGACGGGTTTCAGAGGCGACGATTTAAAGGTTTTTGAGGGTGGAGGAACACGTGACTCGGTAACTAGATAATGTCCGTCATGATCGAGACGTGTTTCATGGTCCTTGAGTCGCGACCAGGAACATAGACCACAGTAGTACCGCCGTAGTACGGCACCGGGCCCGGGGAGATTCCTGGCGAATGACTACGGGATCGTTCTCGCGAGCGACCACGGTATCGTTCCCGCGAGGTTCCTGGCGAATGACTACGGGATCGTTCCTGCGAGCGACTACGGTCTCGTTGCCGCCGGCGCGAGCGACCACGATATCGTTCCCATGAGCTACTAGAGCTAATACGGGATGGAGCCGGGATCGCAACAATTTTTACCACAGTAGAGGGTGGTGGTGAAAAATCCGTGTTCTTGAGTTTGGTGACAATGCTCCGCACATTTGTGATGAGGGTCGAATCATCTGTTTGAGATAATGTAAGGAGGTATTTGCCCAAAGTCTCCTTCAGTAAATCGCGAGCATCCGGACTTTTCAACCAACCCCCATCATTGAAGTGACTTTGAAAATGAATAGGAATGACTTGAATGACTGGAACACGAATGACCTCCGTGTTTTGAAGGGGGGGTTTATATGGTGTATATTGATTGAATAAGGGGAGGTTGGGAACGAAATCTAGTACTTTCACATGCCAGTCACCGCGATCCTCCGAGGCCTCGAACAAGTTTTTGACGGCGGATACAAATCGGAGTTGATGGGAGGGATGGATGTAACTATCGGTGCCAGGATCAAATTCCCCCAGGAACTCCACGGTTTCACGAGCTCTGAACAGTGCTTCACTAGACCGGTGGCACTCCTGGATGAAATTGGTAAGGATCTCAAGTTTTCCTTCGTCTAGTCTGTATTTGAAGCCAGTGCTGTCGGAAAAATGAGCCACAGCTGTATCGGCAGGCAGCAGGGGGTGCTGGTAGTACTCGGATTCGAGCGGTGCTTCATCGAATGAGTTGAAATCTGCAAGCATGGTATCAAGGACTTTGTACTTGGCCATGGCAACGATAGAGGGTGTCATCAACGGATAGTCAATGCACGACACCGCGGTGATAATCGCCTCTGAAGATGATAAATCCAGGTCCGATCGACGGAGGATGACCCAAAGGTCAGTCAATGATTGTTCATGTACGTGGGAAGCGGGTCCTCCAATACTCGGAGACATCTGCGACAATCCATCGATGAGGCGCAGTACGGTCGCCAGAATAAATCTGCCTCCCCTTCTCTCGAGCTGAAGGATCTCCATTGCACCCTTCAGAGCAGCCTCAGACTCGCGCTTTCCGAGGTATTCAAAAATGACCGCGGTAGCACGAGTGATCCCTTGTCGGACTCCGCGGAGACCCAGTACGACATCATTGTATGAATAACGCCGTCCAGCCAGTGAAACTCTTTCAAGTCGTTGCGTTCCCCGCCCCAAGATTGGCCGAAGTTAGATAAAATATTTTCCAGTCGGTGTTCCAGATCAGCCAGCCAACGCGGTGTTAGCCGTACAACTGATTTCGCAGGTAGAATGCATCTCTGCGTGGCGTCGAACCGAAATGGTGGAGAAGGGAGGCGGGAAGCCTCGGTGAGGTAATCCATTAGGATGTGAAAAGGTACGGTGGTAGACAGGTTTCCGAATTCCTCCGTGAGGCGTTCCAGACGTGGAAATAACATGTCCACGTGGTCAGGAAAATTCAGCGATATTGAATATGACTTGAGCCTTTGAAGACAATAAATGAGTTTCTGGCCACTGGCCCGCGCCGTCGTGTTGGGTTCTCCTGTGGTTTCAGCAATAGCTGAATTGCAGACAGTTAGATGGGATAGTGTCTCTTGCAACAACTTTTGTGCAGCGCAGGACGACACCCATCGGCTGATGGCTACCGCAGAGATAGAGTGGTGTAAAACCCATGGGTCCTTCTCTTGAGAACTGGTGAAGATGTGGTGGAACAGTG